GAATGAGCGACAACAGAAATGGCCACCATACTTTCTGCTACAAACGACAAACTGCAACCACGTTTTCGTCTGCAGGGGTGATGTACAGTGATAACTTGCCATTTAGAGTCCTGCACAGGAGTGTCGGACTCATCACCACACAGCAATCCAACAAAGTAAAAGCCATCAGCATTGACAGAGTCAAGCCAACGTTTATCGACGGCTCCCAAGACAACGACAAAGCTGCCCTGAACGATTTACTATTGCTTCTACTCATTGAAACTGCTTCACTTGAAAGGGCCAGCGAAGACAACGTGATCTGGTCAGAGGGCTTGCTGGTCTCAACGTTAGGTTAAGACCATTACTATTTAGCCTAATGGGAATTTCTGTTTTTGCTGTCTTTATTCGAAATTGCTACACAAATATTCATTCAGGTTGCTAACATTTCTGTCTCCTATTGGCATTGTTAATAATTCAACATAGACTTTCTCCATTTAGTTTTTTTCTAATATTCACACATTGTTTTCACTTCAAGGCTACCGATCCTTGGGGAATTTCCAACACCACGTTTTTTCGACCATAGTTATCGATTTTTATATCCTTACTGAATTTATTGTTTATATTGGTAACTTTTCATTCATTTTCCATGATTCTGTGGATTAAATCGCATATTCTTCATCTCAGTACATGAGTAGTTTTCTATATATAACGCAAACAACTGTTATTCACTAGCACTTAGGCTGACTATTTCATATTTCACTGTTCTAGTAATATCCCATATTTACTGTGACTGTACAGTTATAAAACTAATTCATATACCCATATTATACTTTTACGTATGCTTGCAGAATATTAGTCATTATATGTGGCATTTTTTAGGTTGTGAAGTAACTTCTGATTTTGTTGTGTAAATCGCATCAGAAGCTTTTTGGTTTACTTTAACTGGTTTAATTACTTGAAGTAGTGTCTATTTTTGTGCACTTTTGTGACTTTTTGTGTTTTTATATCTCTGTATTTAGGTATATATACATATTTGTGTGTAACTTAAGCAGCTTATACTAACATGAGTCCCACAAATAATTGTGGACGACCGGACTGGCACTTTCCGGTGGAGGATGGGATGCATTGTGATAACTGCAACCTATGGTTCCATAAAGTTTGCACTGGCTTATCACCATTAGCCTATAGGAGAGGCAGAAAGACGTCATCTCCATGGATGTGCAAACCCGTTGGATGCCCTCATCCAAGGGGCCGCAGGACTTCTCATGTCGAAGAAGTTACCAAAAACCTCTGATGAGAAGAAAAATGCAACATCTAGTACAGATGTTATAAACGAGGATTCTGGCCTTAGTCATAAAACTGAGGCAGAACCACATCCCCTAGCTTCGAAAGAAGCAACAGAGGTGCCCAGCAGTCTGCAATAGCACGTAAAAAGCCCCGAAAACCTAGGAGGGTAAACAGTGCCAACATTGTAAGACAGCAGGGTGATACCACAGCGATGAAGGGTTGCGTGTCTGGTGAACGCAAAGCCTCCAACTGCGGCGAGAGTAAAGTGGAACCATCTGATTCCACCTGGCTAGTGCCGAAGAGTAGGAAGCTCAAGAATCACAGGAAAGAGAAAAGTACTGTGGTTAGTGATAAGGTCTCAACGGTCGTAAACACTGATAAGATTAAACCTTCGGACTCAAATTACAGTATAGTAATTTGGAATTTGGAGGAATCGAAGAAGGTAGATCCAGCTGCTCGACATGCTGACGGTCTCGAAATAGTTAGCTGCATCATCCGGGAAATACTTCCGGAAAAAACGAATGGTGTTCACATAAGGAAAGTCATCAGAATCGGTAAACGAATCGCCGATGCAACGGAAAGTTCCCCACGACTGCTGAAGGTAGTACTGGGGAACGAAATGGAGAAAACTATTATTCTCAACAACGCATTCAAGATCAAGAATAAAAAATGAGAATTAGGCCAGACTGGCTTTTCTAAGATAGAATTAGGAGAAGAGAAGCTGTGGTTGAATTAAAGGCCCGATCAGAAAAAGGCGAAAAAGACATCAAACTGTTGGGTTTTCGGGTAGTGAGGTCTCGGAAACCTATGTTACCCAGACCTCTGTTCATAAGTCGAGTGAACACAGGTCTCTCAGTATGCTATACGAACGCTTGTAGTCTTAGGAATAAGCTTCCTGAACTAGGAGTGTTGTCTGAGGAACTACAGCCGGATGTGATTGCTATCACCGAAACATGGTTTTTAATGGGTATAGACTTAACTCCACTCATACCTGGGTACATCTGCATTAGAGCAGACAGAGTAAGTAGCCGGAAAGTTGGGGGGTCGCTCTATACATTCGAGATGACATAGGAATTAGGTCGACGTTGTCGGAAGCTCATGACAGTGGCACCTGTGAAGTCGCAGGTTGTGTCATTAACTTGAACAAAGGCACTGTAACGATAGGGGTTATTTATAGAAGTCCTACCAGCCAAGCTGACAATTTCGTTATAAATCACCTCAGGACGTGGAGTAGAAAGAATAGGTGTCTAATAGTAGGTGATTTTAATGCCCCGCATATTAAGTGGGAGGAATTAACATCAACTACTTCGTACAATTGTTTCAATAGGGAACTAATACTGGCAGTACTTGAATGCGCACTTGTGCAGCATATGTATGTACCAACACGATACCATCCTGAACATGATCCGTCCACTCTAGACTTGGTGCTAACACACCAGAAGGAGGATGTTGGTAACATTAGGTGCCTGGCGCCGCTAGGCAGTAGTGACCACATGGTTATTACTTTTGTGTTCAGGATCCAGGCCGTCATACATTGGTCAACAGCCGCTGGCTCAAACGTTTGGAAAGCGAATATACCTGCAATCCGAAATGCAGCAACCCTAGCTGACTGGTCTGTTAACACACACCAGACTGTCGAGGATGCTTGGATGGGATTTAGGAGTACACTAGAGTGCGTCACTGCACCCTTTGTACCTTCGTCTACGCCTCGAAAATTATCTCATTAAGCACCTTGGATTAGTAATGAAATAAGGAGGTTACTAAGAAAACGAAAGAACTTATGGGACCGGTTTGCTGTGACTGGGAGGGATGAGTTTCGGGTAGAATACCGCAAAGTTCAAAACCTTTGCAAGTATGAGATTGACAAAAGTCGTATAGAGTATGAGAGACAGTTAGTACTGGATTGTGTGCATTATCCAAAAAGACTGTTCTCGTATATCAAACGCAGGACTAAAACTAGTAGTGGCATACCGTCCCTCATTAGCAACACAGGAGAGGCTGCAGAATCAGACGAAACAAAAGCTGAGGAGCTCTCCGAATATTTCTGTGATGTTTTTTCGCCTAATCGTACCACCCAGGGGTGTAGTGAGGTAACTGGTGTAGCCCCTAAAATGCCCCCAATTGTGGTAGATGATGCAATGGTTCTGAAACTACTGTCTAAGTTGAAGCCAGGTAAATCACCTGGACCAGACGGACTTCACCCTAGATTGCCAAGCTCCCTGGCGGATATAATATACATTCCACTTACGGAGATTTTTCAGATGTCTCTGACCCAGGCTAGGTTACCCAGAGACTGGAAAGATGCTTTTATAAGCCCCATCTTCAAAGATGGGAATAGACAGTTAGTATCTAACTACCGGCCTGTAAGTCTGACCTGCATTATAGCAAAGGTGTTAGAAAAACTCATAAGGGACCAGCTCTTAGCTCATACGGAAAAACATGGCTTACTGGCAGTGGAACAGCATGGGTTCCGACCAGGACGATCCTGCTTGACAAACTTACTGTTAGCTAGGGAAGATTGGGTCGAAGCCAGGGATAAAAACCATCTACTGGACGTTGTATTTATCGATCTTAGTAAAGCATTCGATAAGGTATCCCATTTAGGTCTTCTTAGTAAACTTAAACATTTTGGATTAGACCAACGCTTATGTGAGTGGTTTAGTGACTACCTGATGGATAGGAGGCAGAAGGTAAGGGTTAATGGTGTACTGTCAGGGTGGAAAGCAGTACTAAGTGGAGTACCTCAGGGAACGGTACTTGGCCCCCTGCTATTCCTGTTATACGTAAATGAAGTGCCGAAAATTCTTACCTCATCTTCCTTACTATTTGCGGACGATATTAAGATATGGAAAACCGTAAATAGTAACGATGATAGGTTGGTACTACAAAACGATCTAGACAAATTAACCGAATGGGCTAACCTTTGGAGTCTGGAAATTAATTCCAAGAAAAGCGCAGTAATGCACCTAGGTCAGAAGTCTTACACGTCGTACTCCATGGGGGACACAGAACTGCCAGATGTTAGGGAACAAAAGGACTTAGGAATTATTGTTAGCCATGACTTAAAAACAACGGTAAACTGTAATCGAGCCGCAGCTAAGGCTTTTCGAATGCTATGGGCACTTCGAAGAGCTTTCAAACGATTAGACGAGGGTATGTTCCAAGTACTCTATGCAACATATGTCAGGCCTCATCTAGAGTACTGCATACAAGCGGCGAGTCCATGCTTCAAAAAGGAGGCACATACCCTGGAAAGAGTACAGAGGGTAGGAACGAAATTAGTTAGTGGTATCTCACACCTTCCTTATGATAAGAGGATGGAGCATTTAAATCTCTTCCCATTATCATACCGAAGGAGGAGAGGCGACCTAATTTTGGCTTACCGTATATTCAAGGGTGATTTAGGGATTGACCTTTCAAACCTTTTCTCTCCCTCTAGGATACATTTACGAGGTCACCACAAGAAGGTGCTCAAACCAAGGTCGAATAAAATACGTTTGGAGTTTAGATTCTCTCACAGAGTGGTCAACGACTGGAACTCCTTACCTGATTCACTAGTAACAGCTCCATCGGTGAACGCTTTCAAAGAGAAACTGGATCTCTGCAGAGATATATATCGCGAGGATTAACATAGGCAACAAGAGCCTTCTATCCTTATAATCTGAGTCTGAATCTGAATATGATTGAACATAATTTTTCGGTTGTTTTATACACACTTCGCGAGGTCACACACGCTGGCTTTTCTTCTGCGTGCTTCGAAGTTTTGGTTTGCATGTCCCAAAGTTTTCACTATTTTTTCTTTTTAACGTTATCATTTGATCGTACGAAAGGTTTGGCATATAGTAGGGCAACTGTAACGTTAGTTCAGAGATTTAATTCAGTATTATGTTAGAGTACTCTAACATTCTACACTGAGTAAATTCTGAAATTGATCTGAAGTGGTTTTATTATGCGCACAAACTAAAACTCAGTGCTGGCTTAACATGACTGACATTTATTCAGAATCCTCTTCTTTTTCTAGACATTTTCAGTAGTAGCTCTTAAGCTACTGGGTTTGTTAGTCAGCGTTATTTCAGCCCTCTTAGCCCAGATTCAGCACTGACTGGCATTACTTCAGGACAAACGATTTAGTTCAGCGCATATTGGCATTTTTTTTCAGCTTTAAACCAGCACCAAAGCCATTATTTCAGCCGAAAATCCTATTCTTAAGGTTTCATTATGTAACTCAAGCATCCAATGCTCTTTTTAAGAACGACCAGGGTTATTTCACCACACAGTGGGTTCACGTTAGGTATATAAAATATTCATTTACTATTGAAAGGCATTATCAACACTTTCTAGAATTAGTTTAAAATTAGTGTAAGTTTGGCAGGTATCATACGGAAAAATATGTTTCGCCAGACAAATTGTATGTCTAGGCGAACTGTATGTGTCAATTTAACACTTGCAATCAGTCCATAAGAACCTGGCTAGTCGACCTGGTGCTAATACAATTAGTCTGGCGGTTACAGTAGTTGTCTGCTCTTTTTTTATTAATGTATGCTATTCGTTTTTTCGTGTATCTACCGGGTTTCATACTTCTATACATTAACGAATTTCTTGTATTTTGAGTATCCATCCAAGTTTCGTATAGAATTCAGTGTGCTGCCAATAGCTATCTGAAGTTAACTGTGTGGGACCAATTTGTTTTGATGTCCTTGAGAGTAATAGCGTAACAGTAGTAGCATATGCTGTAGATAACTGGTGTTTTACGTCAACATGCTATTGGGTGTTTGGGACATACTATTCAAATTCACATTAAATTCTATAGTGCTTCTATAGTACTTCTAATCATAACTGGGTGCATTACGATGATTAAGAATTAATTAATTATGGTGAAATATGCAAAACCACCATAACGCTAAGTCCATTGGTAGTTTTTAGAGATCCCTCTTACACAACGTAAAACAGACGCAGGAACTAAAGTAGGCAGTAAATGATAACCAAGTATGTTGTCGGTGTAGTCGTGTTCTCTGAGCTAGATGGTTTACTTGCAAAGCTTTCACTGCCTTACTAGTCGACAACTTCGGCGCATACCTCAGTTTGAAGTTAGCTTTTAAATCTCTCCACGAGTTCATTAGTCAACTCTCCCGGTAACCTTGAACGTGATTGATTGCTCTTGTCTGTCTTCACACCATCTAGTCTACTTGTATTGTTATTGATTGATCCCCTTGACCTGAAGTCTAACTTTTCGTGCATGAGATTTTCCTCTTATGGAATGGTAAATTTTATCTATGTCAATGTGCCTATTAATTGCCGATTCACTTGAATACCAGGCTTCCCAAAATTCTCTGGTGTTTTCTCTTGCTAATGTTTAAACGTCCCAGTTGAATTGATGTCCGTGGTTGTCTGTATGCAACGATATGAGGGAGTGAATATCATGTCTCTCGCCGACCATGCACATGGTCCGAGGTTCGAGCCCCTGCCGGCGCACACCGATATCTATAGTCGGCCTGCAAAATTTGGGCTACCGATATCCACGCTGAAAATGCCATACTTGTACTGAAAATACGGTGTGGCATCAAGCTGTAACCAAAAATAAAAAAATAATGTCTCTTGACGGCTAGTTTATGTTCATGGATGTGAAGACGAAGAGGACGTCCACGTTGGCGAATGTAGTGTTTTTCGCAGTCGTTGCAACTTATTTTGTAGATGGTGTTGGTTTTATCTTCTTTCGCTGTTGAGTCTTTTGGTTGACACATAGTTGAGTGAGGTGATTTTGTTGGTTTCTGTGCGACACCAATTCTTTGAGGTTCGAAGAGTCTTGTAGTGATTTCTGAGACGTCCTGTATATATGGAAAGATGATTTTGTTTGCGTTTTCCTTGAAGGCCTTTGATTTGGTAGGTTGGCTTGGGGGTAGATGTCTTTTGATGAGGTTTCGTGGATATCCATTTTTTTCTGGAAGACATCTATGATTTATTTTTCTTCAATTTTTCTCAAGGCAGGAGTGCTAAAATGAGTCCTGGCTCCCTTAAATAATCTTTGTATGCAACTCGCTTTCTATGTTATTGGTTTGTTGCTGTTGTAATTGAGTATTTGATAAGTGTGCGTTGATTTTCTGAAAACTTGAGTTTCTAATTTTCCTGTGGTTGTTCGTTTGACTAAGACGTCCAAAAGTGGAATTTTGTCGTCGGATTCTTCTTCTCTTGTGAATTTGATGTCGTTGAAGATGTTGTTTATTAGGTTGTGAGTTTTGTCTAAGTCGTTTCTTTTAATTATCACGGATGTGTCATCCACGTAAAGTATCCAAATTTTGGGTTTGGTCGTCGGTAGAATTGTTTCCAAGTCTTTGCATCACAGCTTCTGCAATCAAACATGATATGGGCGATCTCATAGATATCCTGATTTGTTCATATATTTGGCCGTTGAACTGAAAATACGTTGTTAGACATGGGTTTATGCATTCCATCCAACTTATCTGTTGCATTTTTTGAGTGTTGTAGGAGGTGACCGTCGTTGTTGGGTAAATGCTCCGTATATTTTTATATATATATATACATATATAATGCTGTGACACTGAAGGACATCATTATTTCTTGGTCTTCTATTTGAATGCCTCTGATGTTCTTTAGAAATTGGATTGAAGGTTTGATGGAATGATCGCAGGAATCCGTTAAGTGTTTCAATTTTCTGTATAGTTCTTTGGACAAATTGTATGTTAGGGTTCCTGGGAGTGATACAATTGGTTGTAGCGGGGTAGAATGAGTCCACTAGATTTCATTCGCCATTGATCTTTCGTGATCTGACCTGTTTTGGTGGGCTTGTTTAGGGTTCTTTGAATGCGGCTGTCTAATATTCGGGTAGGATTCGTTGTAAGCTGTTGGTAGACGTCTTCATTTTTGAGTAGCTCTTCAGCTTTCTTGGTGTATTCTTCCCTCTGTCTATTACCTAGTTTTCATGAAATTGACAGTATTACACTAAATTCTATCGTATATATAACCTGACAGGGTGGTCAGCTAACAGTTTAAACTCAGTACGCGATGAATTGTGTAATTTCTCTTTGAAAGATACTTTCGAACATGCTGACATAAATAAAAAAAATAAGACAAGAAAATGCACTCTTATTTTAACTCCTTTTTTACTAGTGTACCCCCTCATTAAGACTTGATATTCTCTGTGGTTACGTGTCCTCTAGTAGGTTTTATTTCCAATCCATCTAACATATTTGGGACATTTATTATTAGTATGTACTGACCAAACTCATCTCACTTTTGAAGTACCTTTGATAAATGGGTGACGTTATAGGGAGTCCATTAAAACCATTGTTGTCTGATGAATATATAAGCCATCTTACGTTGAGAAATCTGGCTGGTAAATTGGTCGCTGAGGTGCATTTCCATAGGGGATATGTTAATAATATCATCGTGATGTGCGATAAGCATGGAGACGCGAATTGTCTACCGGATAAACTTAATTATGTTAACAGTCACATCAGTTGTTTTACATGTAAGGGTCAAATATAAACATAATGGAGACCAAGAAGGGTGATAACAATACATCTTCCACTGTATCAAAACAAAGTTTTTCACGAAAAAGGCTTCATATAATGAAGCATAGTTTATGAACACATGAAGGTGCTTTCAACTTCCTAATCGTTAGGGCTTTCGCAAACTTCAGGATACGCCCCCAAACATGTTTTATAGATAGGTTTGAAATAGGTGTAAACATCAATTTTATTGATACAGATATAAAATTTGGGCACTGTGGTATATCCTGTCTCTATAATATGTGCGTCGGTGGCACAGTGGTTAGGACTCTCGCCGACCATGCACATGGTCCGGAGTTCGATCCCCTGCCGGCGCACACCCGATATCTATGGTCGGCCTGAATTTGGGCTACCGATATCCATGCTGAAAATTCCACACTTGTACTGAAAATACGGTGTGGAATCAAGCTGTAAATCAAAATAAAAAAATAAAAATAAATGTTTCGCAATAGAAGATTTAGACTGTCTGTTTTCACCTTTGATGGGTTCAGGGGCATCGATTTACTTCTGAAGGCCTTAATTGCAAAGATCGATGAGTACTCCCTAGGTGTCTGTGACTACGTGTACACTTAAATTGGTTTTAAAACCAATTTGTCAAACAGCGCGATCATGATCCTATGGAAGTTTATTTATTTATATATTTTTCCTTCACATTCCCCAGTGGAACATAGGGCTTCAAGCTAGTGGCTTGAAGTTTCTGTAGCAGTGTTTATTTTACAGGATGGGGTCGCTAGCCTCATGCCCAACCTTTCCTCTTCACCAGCATTATTTCCGGCTTATTGAGGTAAAGGAGTGCGTCGGCCGGGGATCGAACCCCGGACCATGTACATGGTCGGCGAGCGTCCTAACCGCTATGCCAAACGGTATGTTGATCAAATGCTGTACATTATTATTTTAACAGAAGAACTACTGATACTGTCTCTCTCTCTCTCTCTCTGGTAGAGGGATGTGCTCATTGAGTTAAGAATTTCACTCTCGGGAACTGAGTTAAGAGTTCGAATAAGGCTCTAGTACATTAACAAATTGCAAATATTGTACTGATTGCACTCGTCATCTGAAAACGTGAATTCTAGGAAAATTTACCAACATCTTCGTCAAATTAGGCATCACATTTGGCCTAATTTCAGCGCTATGATTGACTGGTTCCAGAATAAAACTTTGTACAGAAAGTGCAGCAGTTCCAGTTGTCATATTCCATGTGATAGAACATGTTGACCACTTCACCTATTCGGGAAGTTGTATCAGCACCAACGGATTGATTGGTGACGAAATCTCAGCACGGATCCAAAAAGCTCGAGCTGCTTTCGCTAACTTACACCGTCTCTGGCGTAGGCGTGACATCCGACCATCAACCAAGGGACGTGTGTACTGCTGAGCAGTTCGCTCCGTCCTTCTCTATGGCGGTGAGACGTGGCCATTGATAGCGGAAGACATGAAAAGATTGTCTGTTTTTGACCACAGATGTTTACGATCTCTTTCTCGCGTTAGGTGGTATAATAAGGTAAGTAATGTTGGCGTTAGGTGTAGAGTGTTGGGCGAAGAGGGAAAATCAATCAAAGAGGCTATAAAGTTACATAGATTGAGATGGCTAGGTCACGTGCTGCACATGCCTAGCCCGACGGGCATTACTAGCTGATATAGGTGCAGGTTGGAAAAGAGTCAGCGGTGGCCAAACAAAAAGATGGCATCAATCCATGTAATCCTTGACAGTTAAACTGAGTCAGGTAGGGAGATGCAGACTTCCGAGTTGGGGCCCTCGAGACTCTAATAATCAATGGCTAAAGACAATAAGTGACATGGCTCAAAATCGTTGTCAATGGCGCAGATGTACTCAGTCTCTGTAATCTTTCTTATTCCTTTCTACCATTACTCATTCTGTTTCACTCTTATACTTGTCAAAACTGTATTGATTCTCTTCACTCATTTTTTTGTCTACCTTTGTGTGCAACTCGAACTGCTGCACTTCAGTGCCAAGTTCTATGTTGAATCCAGCAGCAGCAGCAGCAGCATATTCCATGTACCACACAACGCAAGAGAGAGAGAGATAATAAACAGAAGTGTGAGTGAGGGAAAAAGAATAGTAATATAGAAGAACAATAGGGTTTTGTTGGGTATAACAAATCACAAAGACTGAATGCATCTACACCATCACTGACAAGTATTTTGAGCCACATCAGCAAATTAATATGTGTAAAACTTGAGCAGTGTGGTGGTAAGTAATTCTATATTAGTTTGTTTATTAGATGTATCATGCAGTCAGTGAAACAGTATTATTTACTGGATGACACATTTTCGAACACAACTGACTGTTCATAATCATAGCATCAATTATAATCACACAACTTCGGAACTTCAGTATTAATTCCATACAAGGAAGGAACCCCGGAAACCTTACGCGGAATTCTTAACAAGGCAGGAATAAAAATGGCTAGCATTCAAACCCACAAACTCAATTAGAAACAAGCTTTGTCGGTTAAAGGATCAATCCTGTGGAGCCTTTAAAACAAAACAATTTAGTTTATCTAATACCCTGCTGGAATGATTGTCAGGTCGAATACATAGGTCAAAGTAGTAGAACAGGGGCAGTCAGTTAGACTAGCGGAGCATAAAAACCTAGCAGCAAAATCTAGATTAGTTGACCCGAATAAGATAAGAACTCTAGAGAACAGTTCAGCTATTGCAAGCACCACATGCAATTACACACACCCAAACATACAATAAGCTGGATGGGATAAGATGACAGTTTTAAAATCTAATGCAACAGCAGAGTGGAGGGAGTGATTGATAACAGAAGCTTTATTTATCGAGTCAACTGCAAACACGTGTAATAGGAATGATTCAACACCTGTCCAGTCAGATATCTGGAAAATTCTACTACCACGCCAACGACGACAAATAGGAGAGAAGAAAGAAAACTATAAAACTCAAGTTTCGAAGTCGTGTGATTATAATTGGCAATATGATTATGAACAATAAATTTTGTTCGAAACGTCATCCAGTGAATAATACTGTTTCACTGTGTGATACATCTAATAAACAAACTAATATGGAACACATCAGCAAATGTCTCCAGATTTCATTGGTTCTTACTATTTCTAAGAATCCAACTAGTCAAACAGCCAGCTTACATCTCACTACGTGGCTGGCTTAAACTAACTTGTTGATTTTGCCGACTGATGAGGCCAACCTGATCTTATGTCAGCCAGTTAACATTGCGCATCGAGGAAGGCGACCGATGTCTGGGGATGCATGAGTAAGACATGTCCTAGCCATCATGTCAATCGATGTAGATTGATTATGCATTGAATCTTGTTACTGCAGATATCCTGTCTACGATAAATATATTTACTCGCAATATCAAGCGTGCACATGGTCCAGGGTTCGATCCCCTGCCGACGAACATCCGATATCTATGGTCGGCCTGCAAAATTTGGGCTACCGATATCCATGCTGAAAATTCTATACTTGTACTGAAAATACGGTGTGGCATCAAGCTGTAATCAAAAATAAATGAGAGAGTGTTGACTGGTAACTCATCTGCATGATAATATAATTTTTGCGTTATAAAAAAATGCTCACTTATTGTTTTATCTTTGTTCGTTTCAGGTAAAACCGTTTCATCATCATCATCAACTCATTCATAAATATCAGTTATGTCAACTAGACGACGACTTGTCGACATTGGTGCTAATCTAACAGATAAAGTCTTTACAGGAATCTATCGTGGTGTTGTTCACCATCAAAATGACTATCAGAATGTTTTATCACGAGCTAGAAAATCTGGTGTAGAGAAAATCATTATCACTGGAGGTTCACTTACTGACAGTTTGGAGGCGATTTCTTTATGCCAAAATGAAGCGGATCTCTTCTGTACAGTCGGCTGTCATCCTACGAGATGTTTAGAGTTCAACGAGAATCCAGATGATTATCTGGCAAAATTAAAAAATCTTATTTTAACCGGTACTACTACTACTGCTACCAAGAAGAAGGTGGTTGCTGTAGGCGAATGTGGTCTAGACTATGATCGGTAGTCATTTTTTTCTATTTATTGATCGATAAGATACTTATTGATTAGTTTTATAGGGAGGAGTTTTGTCCAAAAGATATTCAGAAGAAATATTTTGATATACAACTGAAGCTGGCTAGTGATGTTCAATTGCCAATGTTTTTACACTGTCGAGCTGCACATGAAGATTTTTTAGAAATGCTTAAATCTGCTAAAGAAAAATACTTCAAGGATGTCTCATTACGGGGTGTTGTTCATTCATTTGATGGAACAGGCGAAATGGTAAAACATTTCACTGATATGGGACTATACATTGGTATAAATGGTTGCAGTTTAAAGAATCAGGATAATTTAGAGGTGAGATGTTGATTGTTTTGTCTTTTTTTAAAAATTTTAATTCATGAAAAATTCCCATTCGAACATTGATAGACAGAAGACCAGTAGTGAGACGAATTCATTTTCATTGCTGTACAATCGCAAATATTTATGGTTGTTTTGTATGTGTGTGTGTGTACATTAAATTTGTCAAATGAAAATACAATTAGTAAGTTCAGATGAATTGGATGTTGATATAAGAGGGTAATAACAAAAGTTATGAGTTGTCACAAACGATTGTTAAAGAAGAGTCACGTAATAATGTGAACAGTTTGATGAAAGAGTTGTGCTCAGGGTGTACTTGAAAACAAAGTAACATACGCAATTACGCAAGGGTTTTAAGTAGTTAGGAAAATAAGCATACAAACAAGAGTTAAGTCAAATCAACGGAGTTGTTACTATGAGAGTAGAAGTGGTTGAATAATTTTCCTTTGTATGCATAGTTCTGGTTCTTCCAACTGAATGGCTTGGGCTTCTGCAATGCAAAGAAGACGGAAACATATTGTCTTTGGAAGGTTGTTCTTCACTTTGTAGATTACTTTGAAGCAAGAGGCGTTTGTTGAGATAGAATGACCAGCGTTGACGAGATGTTCGATTATTGCACTCCTTATACGGCCACTACTTCCTTTCTGCAACCACGCTGGATAGTGTTCTTTGACGACCGATGTACCTGGCTCCACAGCAACAGGTGAACTGATATATACACATAGAAGTGGTCAGATGCGGGATCTTGTCCTTTGGGCTTTTGCAGATCAGCGGGCGACTGGAGAACACTACTCTCAATTTTGCCGCCTTCATTTTCCTTTTAATATAGAAAATATCCCCATTTAGACATTTGGAAAACAGAAAGATTGAGCGAAGAAATATTTACTTTTCAATTAGATCCTCATCTCTGGCTCTACTCTAATATATATAGCATTTTTATTACAATACACAACAGTTTACCAAACAAGTGGCGATATGTTTGTTAACAATAATTAGTCAGTGTCAAAATGTCAATGGGTTGATAATTAACGAAGAAAATCAATACGCATTTAAAATTTAAACAAAGCAACAACTACAGATTTAGCAGAATAAAATGGTACCATATTTTATTCCGTCGCCTTCTCTTCATCTGCTTACAGGGCAAAAACATTATTAAATGTATCTACAATAACAATTTAACATACTTACACGGAGTTCATTTTAAACAGAAATCAATCGATCAATATACACATACACTAATAATATATATATATATATATATATATATATATATATATGCAATATTGAACACAATTCCGAGCAATAATAACCACATAGAATGAAAACTTCTCAGTATCTCACATTAGGATGAAAAATATCCAGTTACCAGGGCAAAGAAAGACTGATAACTGCTTCTTTCTGAACGCACAAATCAGGTTTTAGGCGCTTGATGGAAAAGGCTTCAGCAAACTTACGGAGCATTGAACTCTTTTGCTTATTGATAATTTTGAATGACTTTTCCACGTCCACCTCATGACCCGTGTCAAGAAGATGCCTGGCGATGGCACTGCCTAAAGAATTTGGTTAGGATAAATTGATTTTACAAGGATAACACGTAATTAAAGATGAAGTGGTCAAAATAAAAATAAAATAATTTGGACAATTATAATTTAATAGGTTTAGGAGGAGGGGGGCGACGTAGGCCTGTTAATGCATTCTTGTAACGATGGCCAAGGTAAAGAAAGCGGCTGTACAAATTTCTTCTGAACACACAGGTTTGGCTTATTCTTCAGGTGGATTCCGATTGCCTCAGCTGTCTGTAGAAGACGAACTCGAAGAGCAAAGTTAAGATTAGTCGGAATGCGATAAATAATTTTAAATGCAGTATTCACATCAACTTTATGCTCAGTATCAACAAGGTGTGCTAAAATAGAACTACGAATAGATCTTGTTTGTCCCTTGCTTAACCATGCTGGATGATGTTCGGAAATACGACGATGAAACTGCCTAATTGTACGCCCAATGTAGCTGTCTCCGCAGCTGCAGTCAAACTGGTAGACACACATAGAAGAGGCTTTGTTACTACATTTCAAACATATTAGAATGTCTTTTTTTAAATGCGAGTGGTCAACTTATAATCAACATTCATACCCTTCGACAGATTCTGGAAAGCAGCATTCAACACTATCGGCCGAGAGGTGCTATGACAATGTGTGTATTGTGCAGAAGGTTCTCACTGTCCTTCTTTGAAGGTGGAAAATACGGAAACGCTGGCTGTCGCTGACCACAAACGTGTTGCGTTCTACCTAGTGTATTAAGCTGTTTAACATGGTGAGTAGTATTGAGGTTAGGTGTAAGGAAGGGAAATCAATTGTGATGAAGTTGTGGAGCTACACATCGATTGAGTTAGCTGGAGCACGACGTGTTGTTGTGCATGCTGAGTCATCAACTTTCCCCTTGATGAGAAATATTGTTAGCTGGCATAAGATTAGATTGAAAAAAAGAGTTACTGGTGGTGGCGGTGATGGTGGTCAAACCAAAACCTGGCATCAATCGGTGAAGTTTGTCACAGTTGGTTTGAGGTCAGCACTGTAGGGACGTTTTTTTGTTGTACTACTTAGAGAGCTATTGCGATGAAATGAAACAGATAGAAGAGGCGTCGGTGTTAAATAACTATCCTATAAAATTCATTAGGAATATCAAAAAAGGTCAAAAGCAAAATAAAAATAATGGTGAAACTAATAATGATAACATGAATAAGAAGGAATATAAGGCATCTACAGTTTTACCATATAAGGAAGGGACATCGGAGACCCTACGAAGGATTCTTAATAAGGCAGGAATTCGAGTGGCATTTAAACCTACAAACTCACTCAGGTAGGACAAGCTCTGTAGGCTAAAGGACTCAGTGGACCCAATTAAACAAAATAATATAACTTACAAAATACCTTGCAATGACTGTGAGTGAGATCAACTACATAGGTCAAACTAGTAGATCAGGAGTAGTGAGATTATCAGAACACAAGAATTTAGCTATGGTTAGAATGATTAACCCCGTGGCGATAAGTAATTTAGAAGAAAAACTGAGCAATCTCACTGCATGCATTAACACACAACCACACAATAGGGTGGGTGGGACAGAGTCAAAATTCTAAAAAGTAATATAGGAAGGTGGAGAGAGAGAGAGGTTGATTACTGAGTCCTGGTTCATCGAGTCTATGTTCGACACATGCAACAAAAATGACTCAACACAAATACCAGAGATATGGAAGATATCATTACCACAAATCAAATCAGAGGAGGATAATAAATAATCTTAAAATTCTATTTCAATTCACATACATTATAACATTCTAACAAGTTACTTATTTTTACTGTAAAAAACATCTTATTTCCCATCTGATTGATAACACTAATATTATTTTGAGTGTACTTTATTTTGATTGGACACTGGTAACTAGTGTGATGTGTTTAGTCCTTGGAGCAGACTGAATTCTGTCGGTCAGGTTTGCAATGTGGCCACCATTCTAGGTAGCTCGCCATCACGGTGAACATTGATTTGATGATATTAGATGGTTGGAAGCAATCGGCAGGAAGCCTGACTGCAGCACTGGATGACGCGGGTTCGAATTTCAGAAGGGATATGATTTCCTTCAAGGTTGCAGATACGCCTTACTGACTGGTGAGTGCCAACTAGCACGAAACCTAGGTGTGTCCAAGGCTTCCTTCCGATTGCCTCCAACCACCTAATATCATCAAATGAATGTACTATATCTTATACTGATTTTATTCAAATGTCTAATCAATTTTACTCATGTATGTAAATGAAGCAAAAACGTTGTGTGAGTAACTTGATATGATTATGAGCAATAATTTGTGCTCGAAGCGTCATCAATTAATATTACTGTACCCCAGTGAATGTGTTTTCTGCAAAAATTTTTGCCTACAAGTGTATTAGTCAAAGTCCTCACATTTCGGAACAGTATTCAATAACAGAGACAAACATGGGCATGTGAAGGAGAGTAAAAATTCTAAAAACCTGAAAGAGAACAAAAAGTGAATACGTCTTTGATTGGACACTAGTCAGTTACTAGTGTAATTTGTCTAGTCCTTCAGCACTGGGGGTGACACGTGGGTTCGAATCTCAGAAGAGGGGAAATGATTTCTTTCAAATTTGCAGATACGCTTTGTTGTCTTGTGAGTGTCAACAAGCACGAGACGTAGGTCCAAGACTTCCTGTCGATTATTCCCTCCAGCAACCATTGCCAGTTCATGTTTACGACTATTGTCATCACTTATGTTGGCCTTTATAATAAACCTCTCTCGATGTCTATTCTCGTTTTGGTATATCCCGAATGAATTGGAGTTCTGTTTCTACCAGTCTTTGGAGCAAATCGACCTCGTTCTAAGTGCTAAGTATCTGATGGAATTACGTTTGTACTTCTTAGGAAAGACCGACAGCTGCTACCTTGACGTGGTGGTCGGGTTTGCATATCGCAATCATCCAACAAGTTACACTGGCTGGAACTAATGTTCTTTCAGGTCAAACCGTGCCACAAAGATTGTTAGGATAGCGAGTTGGCTAAAAGCAGTTACACTGGCATAGTGTAAGATTTCTATGCTGCGGGCAAAGTCGTACCTCTGGGGAACAGGGATGTGTAACAGCAGTGAGGTGTTTCTTTCAGATGACCAGCATGCCAGCTGTGCTGTCTCTGCACTCTGGAGTTAGAAAAGGTTGACCCCAAAATGTGTACATCCCGACTTTCCCTATGGTGGTGCATAGCCGGCGGTAAGTTACTTATACAGAACCAAACCTAAAAACCAGTTCAAACAAGCCGTATGTGACCGGCTGGCCTCAAGCAGTTGTCCCCTGGGCTCTGCGGTCACACAACACTAATTCTCTTTCTGCTTTAGGTACCCGGAGAATAAATCAACTTCCACGATGTGGGCAGCTAGGAAGTAACGAACGTCCACACACTTCCAAAAGCCCACGAAGACCTCTTATCATCATTCTCCTCTATCTTCGTCAGTCATAGGAGCGAAGCTTTTTAAGAAGTATTGTCCAAGGAGTTTCTAGTGTAAATATATTGGGTTGCCCCCCACCTATTTGTGGTTTGACGTGAGGCCGAATTATCTTTACGCTTAAAATTTTGCGCTTTTTTCCTTGATTATTCAGAAAAAAATAGTTTCATCTTGTAACGAAAAATGATACTTATTATTATTGTTTTTCATAAATGAGCTCATAGTTACTGCACATTTTACATAGGGGTGCTCGTTTATTATTCTTAACTTGTATGTGCACTTGTTGTTCTTGTTTTTCCATTACAGGTGGTACGGAAAATTCCACTTAATCGACTACTCCTAGAAACAGATGCTCCATGGTGTGATATTAAGCGAACTCATGCAGGTAAATAAATATTTTAAGGAATAAAAATAATATTGGAGTGTTGATTTGCTGGGATTCGATAGGTTACAGGATTAATCTCGAGCTGACATCGGTTAGAGAACTATTGGAAAACCCGCCAGGGAGTACTGGTCAGTTGTTTCGTCCTATCAGTTTAGGGCTCTTTTGCAGTACACATCCACCACAGGAATGTTGAACCTTCTGGTCAACAAGGCGAGCTCGTAGACCATTAAACCACTGGAATCCGCCAATCCAGTGACCAGTCCATGAATTCCAACTTCTGCCAATTCACGATATAGCGTGACCACTAACCGATGTTAGCTCATGATGAAATCCTGTATCCAATCAAATCCTTGCAAACCAACGCTTGAATATCAGTCTGATGCTCACTAGCGACTGGCCCTATTCGGGTAAGTTTTAGTTAGAAGTCATGACCAGTAGGTCGGGTGTGAGGACAAATACTCGACAGCGGTGACATTGGCTAGTGCCAGTCGCGCTATATCGTGAATTGGCAGAAGTCAGAATTCATAGACTGGCCATCGGGTCGGGTCCCATTGGGTTAGTGGTTTACAAGCTAGCTTGCCTTGTAGTGGGAAGATCCCGGGTTCGAATCCTAGTGGTGGGTGCGTGCTGATGAAGAGTTCCGAACTAGGACGAAACAGTACTCCCAGGTTTTCCAATGGCTCTCTAACCGATGTCAACTCATGATGGAATCCTGTAAACCCCCTCCCAAAAATAATTAATGCTTCATCCATTTTTTATTTATTTCATTGTCTAGGTTATTCATTTGTCAAGACGCATCCAACTTATCGTAAACATACATCATGGGATGAAAATTGTATGATAAAAGGACGTAATGAACCTGCTAATCTAATTCAGGTATTAGAAGTTGTCGCGGGTATAAGAGAAATGAGTGAAGAGGAGTTGGCTGAGGCGACTTATCAAAATGCTGTTGATCTTTTTGCATTGTAAATATAAATATTATGAATGGAATTTTACTATTGTTATTATCATTTATGTTGGATTAGGAATAATGGCATGTATCGTCAGTGAGAAACAGGAGCGTCGCGACGTTTTTTTCTCTTTTCTATTCCCTTGCACTCCGAGTGGAACATCCACGGTGTGGGCAGTTGGGAAGTAAAAACCTCCCACGCACTTCCAAAAGCACACGAAGCCCGCCTTTATCCATGTCACCCTCATCCTCTTACTTCCCTACTACTATCAATACCATTCCACAGGTTGGTCAGTCATTTCATTCTGTGACCACAAATAGCGATGAGAGCCAGGAAAACACTCCCGATGGCCTCTTCAAGCCATGCCGCCAACTTGTTAGAACATTTAACGTCAGGACATTGCCAAATCGGACAATAGGCATCACCAGCCACTTGAGCCAATGGATGCATGTTGTGTTTCGGAGACATGCATACAAGACCTGAGTGTGGTTACTCACTTAACCCCACCGGGTCAACTAGGTGAATGCGAAAAATTCAGGAAACTCCTCAGCAAGTTCGCGAAGACACACAGGTGTAGGGATAGTATTGAGTGTTGGGGAGAAAAATTCACTTCTTGACTGGATCCCAGTAGGTAGTCGTATATGTGCGGTCCGTTAGAAGAAGGAAGAACGGTGTTACCCGTCGTTGTCTTTTCATAGTCTCCGCTTACACACCCTAAACGACTGCATTTCGGATGAACTAAAGGATGACTGCTGCCAGGAACTGTCTAATTTGCTGCAAAAGCTCAGATATAATTGTTTTACCTGGCGACTTCAATGCCTACTGCACCCATCTCTGTTTATTTCATCATAGAATTACTAATAGACTTAACCTTAACTGACTTCAGTGACTCAGGGATTGACTAGTTATCAGGGAATAACCTCGTTGACTCAGGATATCCAGATGATATAGTCCTCCCTCGTGGGTGAAGACGCTGACAAAGTGTAGAGTCTTCTCAGCACCTTGAGCAGCAATCGTCGAATGTTTGGCATGCGATTAGCTCCCCTTGTCAAATGTAAGATGATGCTGCAGGACTGGACTACATCGACTCCTAGCTTAAGGATAGGGAGCAAAGTGGTAGAGCGTATTGACCACCACTTCATTTATTTGGGAAGTCTCATCAACCACAGCGGGCTGATCGCTAATGAAATCTCAGCACGGATACAGAAGGCTTGTTTGGCATATGGCAACTTACGTCATCTCTGGCGTAGACGTGATATCCAGCTGTCGAACAAAGGGCGTGTGTACTGTACTGCTCAGCAGTTCGCTCTGTCTTTTATGGCTGTGAGACATCACCATTGGAAGTGGGAGACATGAAAAGCTTGGCTAGTTGTCTTTGATCATAGGTGCCTGCGTTCTATCTCCCGTGTGAAGTGGTATAATAGGGTGAGCAATATTGAGGTTAGGTATCGGTCGAGTGCTAGGTAAGCGGGGGGGGGGGGTGAAATCAATCGACGAAGTTGTTAAATTACACCGATTGAGATATGTTAGGATATGTTTTACGTATGTCTAGACATCGCCTTTCTCGACGGGCAATGTTAGCTGACATAGGATGGATCGGTTTGGAAAAGAGCAAGTGGTGGTCTAACCAAAACATGGCTTCATCAGTCAGTGAAATCTATAATAGTTAGTTTAAGCCACAGAGGAAGGTGTAGACTTCCCAACTGGCTGGTTGGAGTATTCCGGATGGTAAGAACCAATGACGGCTGGAGACAATTGGTGATATGGCTCAAAATCGTTCTCAATGGCTGGTGCAGATGCATTCACTCCTTGTGATGTCGTATCCAATGAAACTATTGTTCTTCCATATCACTATTCCTTTTGCCTCATATCTCTGTTTATTATCTCTCTTCTCTTGCTTTGTGTGCTACATGGAGTGTGATGACTCGAACTGCTGCACATCGGCGGAAAGTTCTACGTAGAATAGAGTCAGTCAGGAACATAAGGCTCTAATCTTTGAAGTTCCAGTAGCGATAGCGTCTACTTATTTTTCCGGGTTCGGGTTGCTACCTGACACCCAACTTTCCATTTTCTTATCGAGCTTTCACCACTAACTAGGCAAGTTTTAGAAGTGCGTAGGTGGCGACGAATCGTTCCCAGATCACACAAGGCGAGTGCTTGAATACTACTAAACCACCGACAATATTATCCCAACTCATTAAGTCTTCTCTAATTGCAAGTGGCTGGATTTTTTTGTTAAGTACAATGTCACACAATACGTTGGAAAGTACCAAATAACGCAGAAGATGAAATAGTTAGAAAATTTATTAGAGGACATACATATCTACAATGATGTGTCAGTAATCCAACTGTTCATATACACAATGGTTTTCATGAATTTTCACCATCTGATGAAGAAGGTTTACTTGGCTTTAAAGTAGACGGGAACCATGAAGGTCTAGATCCAGAGACATTAACATTTACATTGTTAGTTGTTGTTGCTTCACCGACAGATGATTTATCACTATCATATACAAATCGAATCTCTCGATCACTTGGCAGTTGACCATTGAGAAGGGAACGTAAAAAGTTAGTTTCTTCTCGTACTTTACTGTAACAGTTTGCTAAAAAGAGAAGAAAAGAATTTGCAAAACAAAACGTATATATGAGTATATAATCATTATTAGATATAAGAGTGAAATTAAGCATTGATTATTCATACGCATCGAAATACTCGTGTATTTTTTTCATTCCTTCACGTTCCTAGTGGAACATAGGGCTACAAGCTAGAAGCTTGAAATTTCCGTAGCAGTGTTTATTTTTACAGGATGGGGTTGCTAGCCTCATGCCCAACCTTTCCTCTTCACCAGCTTTTAGTTCTGGCTTAGCGAGGTAAAGGATTGCGCCGGCCGGGGATCGAACCCCTGACCATGTGCATGGTCGGCGAGCGTCCCAACCGCTATGCCACCGACGCACTCGTGTGCATAGTTGAACATTAATGTGTACACACTGTAAAATGAGATAAGAACGAATTCCCATAACTGAACCAAAATTGAAGTCAACGTTTTAAGAGATGCTGTCTGGTTTCAACACAAAACTTTGCACCGATGTGCAGCAGTTCGAGTCGCCACACTTCACTCAGCACACAAAGCCTAAGAAGAAACGCAAAATAGAGACAGTAAACAGAGATGAGACAAAAAGAATAGTAATATCGAAGAACGATATAGTTTTATTGGGTATTATAAGCCACAAGGAGTGGAGGCATCTCCGCCAGACTTTGAGGAAGATTTTGATCCATATCACTAATTGTCTCCAGCCGTTGGTTTCTACCGTCCTGAGGACCCCAACCAGGAAGTCTACACCTCAAACTAACTGCTGTGGATTTTATTGACTGATGAAGGCATGTTTTGGTTTGACCACCAGTGGCTCTATCCCAACCTGATAAATGCTATGTCAGCTAACATTGCCCGTCGAGGAAAGCACGCGATGACTAAGCTACCATGCATAACACATGTCCTAACCATTTCAATCGAGATGGTATCTCCACAGCCTTGTCGATTGATTTCCCCTCCTTACCCAGCACTCGACACCTGACCTTAATATTGCTCACCCTATTATACCATTTCACACGGGAGATAGAACGCAGGCACCTATGATCAAGGACAGCTAGTCAAACTTTTCATGTCTTCCACTCTCAATGGCCAGGTCTCACAGCCATAAAACAGGGTGGAGCGGACTGTTGAGCAGCATCTTTATTTAATTTAATTTGGTCTTTCCCGTTGATTGATTGGATCAAAGTGTTCAGCCTCTGCTGACATATCGGTTCCTTAAACGGATGTTTCGATAACGTTTGAAGATTTAACTTGATGGTAGGCAGCAGTTGAATCCAGGATGCGCATTTCGTCTTATTACGGACTCGTCATCTGGATGTACCAGGGCATCCTAGATTCCACTGCTAGTCACCATCCACCAAATTACTTCAATTTAAATCCTCAGGCATTGTCAAAACATCCGCAAAAGAAACCGATATGCCAACAGAGACCGAACACTTCGGTCCTATTAATCAATCAATCAAAATGAATTCAATAATTACTGACACCGTTTTCATAAGAGGCATCTCTCGTGGCTTAAGTGGTCTAATGGATGACGCTTCGGCCTATTGGATTCGAGCCTTAATGGGGGGGGACACTATCATTCACTGAGGAGTGCAGATACAACCACTAACTGACGAGTCCCAGATAGGACGAAATGTGCATCTTGGATTCCACAGCTAGTCACAATCCATCTATTATGCGCAAAATCTGTTTAGTGTTTTTGAGAGAAAGGAAGAAATTCAAAATATGATACAACTTGTAAGGCAAAGCATGCGTACAATTACGTGCTATTCAATTAGAACTCTGTAACAGAGGTTATAAGATAACCATCTTTTGTTAGTATTTGCTCGGGCTGAAACCAGAAGATAGGCCTATTGTTATTATATATACAGTAAGTTAAAATACTGATCGTAGGTATTTACACGAAAGATAAAAAAGATTTCACCATGAGAAAATGAAAAGACCAGATTAGAGACTAAATTAAACAAGAGCTTACCATGAGGTAGGTATCTAACAACACAGTTTGTTCGTTCTCTGGATAGCAACAGTAAAGCTGTATTCAAAGATTAAGCTTTCCTAATTGTCTGTGTTTAGAAACCCAGTAAATACACCTTTTTCAAGAGATTAGACAATAGTTATTATTACTGCGTCATTGCTGGCTGGCTGGATTCAACATGGCACCGAAGTGCAGCAGTTCGAGTTGCCACGTTCCAAAGAGCACACAAAGGTAGACAAGAAGTTGAGTGAAGAGAATCAATAGAGTTTTGACAAGTATAAGAGTGAAACAGAATGAGTAATGGTAGAAAGGAATATGAAAGATTACAGAGACTGAATACATCTACGCCATTGACAACGATTTTGAGCCATGTCACCTATTGTCTCCAGCCATTGATTCCTAGAGTCCCGAGGGCCCCAACCCGGAAGTCTGCATCTCCCTACCTGACTCAGTTTAACTGTCAAGGATTTCATGGATTGATGAGGCCATGTTTTTGTTTGGCCACCACTTACTCTTTTCCAACCTGCACCTATGTGAGCTAGTAATGCCCATCGGGGAGGCGATGGTTAGGCATGTGCAGCACGTGACCTAGCCATCTCAATCTATGTAACTTTATAGCCTCGTCGATTGATTTTCCCTCTTTTCCCGACACTCTACGCCTAACGTCAACATCACTTACCTTATTATGCCACCTAACGTGAGAAAGAGATCGTAAACATCTGTGTTCAAAAACAGACAACCTTTTCATGTCTTCAACTCGTATTGGCCATGTTTCAGAGCCATAGAGAAGGACGGAGCGAACTGCTGAGCAGTACACACGTCCCTTGGTTGATAGTCGGATGTCACGCCTACGCCAGAGACGGTGTAAGTTAGCGAAAGCAGCTCGAGCTTTTTGGATCCGTGCTGAGATTTCGTCACCAATCAATCCGTTGGTACTGATACAACTTCCCAAATAGGTGAAGTGGTCAACATGTTCTATCACTTCACTCCCTATCACTAAGCTAGGAGTTGACGTAGTCCAGTCCTGTAGCAGCATCTTACATTTTACAGGGGCGAATCGCATGCCAAACATACGAAGATTGCTGTTCAAGGTGTTCAGAAGACTGCATTTTGTCAGCATCCTCCCCTAACAGGACTATGTCATCTGCATATTCTAAGTTCATAAGACTATTCCCTGGTAACAAGTCGATTCCTAAGTCGTTAAGTTCAGTTAAGGATACTTCCATTAGCATATCTATGATGAAGTTAAACAGAAAAGGGGAAAGTGGACATCCTTGATGGACACCACTGGTTGTTATCAATTCAGATGACAATTCCCCATAAGCCCTTACACAGCTACGTGAGTTTGAGTAGAGTGCCTTGATTAGTGCAATGTACTTTCTTGGCACTCCCTTCACAGTCGAACATTGCCATAGTACCTCTCGATCCACGGAGTCGAAGGCCGCCTTCAAGTCAAGAAATATGGCAATTGCTGGACGCCTAAAAGTGTGTCTGTGTTCTAGGGTCTGTCGGAGAGTGAAGATATGATCTATGCACCCTCTACCTGGCCTAAAGCCCGCTTGATTTTCCCTCGTTTGTTCCTCCCGAGTTCGGCTTAGTCTGTGCATGATTACTGAGCCTAGGATTTTAGAGACTATGTTCGTCAGGCTGATTCCTCTATGATTATCACATGAGGACTTGTCTCCCTTCTTGAATATTGGTATAATAAGTGACTTACCCCAGTCTGATGGAACCGTCTCTGATTCCCAGACGTTACCTAGTACCTTAGTTAAACTATATACTAGTATGTCACCCCCATATTTAAACACCTCCGGAATAATTCCGTCAGGTCCTGTCGCTTTGCCTCGTTTCAGATTACAGATAGCTTTTGTGACCTCACAGACGGCGGGCCAGTGTCTATATCCCATTCGGGTGTGTGCTGGATTGCGGGGAGGCTCAGTGTGGCTGTAGGCAAGTTAAATTGTTCCTCAAAGTGTTCTTTCCAGCGTTCAAGGGATACAGTATACCTTACATGGAAGTTTCTTCAGCCCAATAAAAGATTAAAGAAAGTTATCCTAAGTCTACGGATGACGAAGTATTTCAATGTTATCTTCAGGAATTCAGTTAGAGTGCTTAAAATAGGCTTACGAAACAGCAATATTTTGAAATAACTAACAACCTATTTGAATTGGTAATACAGATAGTTCTATATCAGTAATGGAAAATTTAAGTACCAGTTCCAAACTATTCCAGGCAAATGGTATGTATAGGATGGCGGCCAAGCAATATAACAAGCTTATGATTATGATACTGAAACATTACCAAGACCCATAAGAGCTTTCATGCTTCTCTACACTGAAGACGTAAACAACTTTTGGAAAGTTAAAGGAAGTAACATAGACTGACATTGTTATACGAGTCAACATAATTAGTGCTTACTAACACAGCTTCACCCATAGTCACACAGATTACCTACGTGGTGGATCATATATTATTGAGATACCTCTGCCCTTAGCTGTAAAAGAATGAACTAAGAGTTGTAGCACGTCACGATTCAAAACAAACAAACTCGGCATTCGTTGATTTACAGGCCAGAACTTCAGTAAAAAGTGGTCTTATGGGTTCACCTATATTATTTAATAAGTGTCAATATTGATGACTACACGCAAGCAACCAGTTTCTTCCTAAGGATCAAAGGGTATTTACACACATGATTCCTGCTGTAGCTGGTCTACTTCATTATAAACGAACTAAAAAGCAAAATCTCTCTACAGTGAAGTTAAATTATCATAGCCAAAGTCAAGTTCTGTCAAAAGTTGACCTTCAAGAACCAATCAAATACAGGGAACGCTATAAAAGATCTTTTTAAATCAAATCATGCCTGACATTTTGGACTCGGAGAGGGCAGATATAACATTCTACTTATTCTTTAGGTACTTTCTCTGCCAATCTATACAGCTAGGAACGGTTATGGTTTTTAAGATTAAGGTTTACGGTCACAGGATTAGGAGTTGGGATTATGGTTACAGTTAGGAGTAGGTTGAAGAACAGCGGATCTCAAAGTAACATGACCTACAGTCATCTGGATGAATGCACTTATCGCGCAAGGTATGATTTCCCTATAGATCATTTAACTGAGACATTCTTACAACACATATGCGACAACTATATAGTGTAATATCATGTTTGCAGTGGCTTTCTGTACATTTTCAAACGATTATTGGACTTTTTTGTATCTGAGTTCTGATTGATTTTTTAAAGTCACTGCAATTTTGGCTACCATAGTTTAACTTTTCCCTCTTTAGCTTACCACACCATAGAAAACATGATGTGTGGGATTTTAATGACACCACCAGCCTGGTATATTTCCCTTTTCTTTTGTAGAGTGTTTTCCACTGCCTCTCAAACCGTATTTAAGAACTGACGTATGCCTCTTTTATTGGCCTACTCAAAGGTGTGGGAAATAAATACGGAGGAGCCTGATACTTTGAAAAGGGAGTGAATTTTACACGCTCTTGTTTAGTTTTGGCTTTTGTTGTGTTATACGCTCCAAAAGTCTACAGATTAACTTTAAATCAGTTTATTCTGATCAAAGTTAGTTTACTTTTCAGATCTGAGTCTATTTAAATTATAGGAAATTGTTTTTTTTATAACATAATGGTTATATATATATTTTTGTGCACTCATTGATTTTTATCGCTGATTTATAAAGGTCTATATACATCTAAGTTATATTTAAATTTCTTCGCCAGTCTGTTCTAGACAGTATGTCCATCAAAAAAATTCGCTGTGGAAGGGTTATGTGCCAATTCCCAGTGGATGAGGGAATGCAGTGTGATAACTGCAAGAGATGGTTTCACAGTATGTGCACAAACCTAACTCCTGCAGCATACAAACGCTGCTGTAAACCTCTAGAAAACTGGTTGTGCAATGACTGTTGTAGTACTACCAAACTCCGTATTACAGAAGCCATTGCCACTCTTAGCGGGGTTTTAAAGCTCATGGACTGCAAGGGTATTCCATCACAGGAGAAGACTAACTACTTCTCAGACACCGAAGATGCGACTAGCGTCATCGACAGAACAGTACATGTTCCTAATGATTCTTTGTCAATGACTGAGTGCCCTTCAGCACAGAAGAGCACTCACCACATTCCAGTCACCCAGGCTGCCCCCACGATACTGGATAAGCCCTCCAGTGACAGTAACGGAAAGACTGCCACAAAGAAGAGGCGTACCAGGGGGCAAAAACCTGCAGCTCAAGTCATCCAGGGACTAGTGGATCAAGCCTCGTCCACACCGGTGAGTAGCAGGCAGATAAATCCTGCTACGACTAGTGAGGAGAACGCCAATGAATGGCGTAACGTAGTCTCTCGCAAAAAGCGAGATAAGGACAATACATTGGCCACACTGCCCACGAAGGACAGGAAGACATTCACGCCGCAGAGCAAGAAACCCACGGCAAGCAAACCTGATCTCTCTGACAGGTCGCTCATTCTCCACAAAGTGGAAGAGTCATTGGCCCCCGAACCCAAGACTAGATTTGAGCATGACCTTAACTTGGTTAAGCCCCTTTTAGACAAGCTACTGCCACAAACAGTATCAGGCGTCACTATACACAGTGTATATAGAATAGGCCAAAAGCCTGACCCTACAGTAAGTCAGCCTGTACGTCTCCTCAAAGTCGTACTAAACTCTAAAGAAGAGAGGGATGCTATTCTACGCAACTCTCATATACTTAAAGGATCAGGCATATATGTCCGCGCCGACTTAAGCCTGGCAGACCGTATCAAAAGACAGTCTGCGGCCCTAGAATTAAGCGAACGACACCGAAACGGCGAAAAGAACCTTAAGATTAAGGGTTTTCGGGTTGTTCAAGTTCGCAGTTTAATGATCCCGAAACCTCTGTGGGTAGGCCGGGGAAGCAACAAACTGGATTAACAGTTTGCTACACAAACGTCCGCAGCCTGTTAAATAAACGGACTGAGCTGGTTAACATGATAGACTCCGGAAACCCGGATGTAATTATTATCACAGAGACATGGCTCACACCCGATGTCACTGACAGCGAAGTTAACCTGCCAAACTTCGAAGTGCGTAGGGTGGACCGACTAAACCGCAAAGGAGGTGGCGTAGTCATTTACCTCAAGAAATGCTTAACCGTGCGTAGTATCGAAGCACTCGCTCACGAAAGTGAGTCGTGCGAACTTCTACGCTGCAGACTTAAATGCATAGGCCAAGACATTGACCTCATTGCTATGTACCGCAGTCCTAACTGCAGTGCAGATGACTTCCTCATAGAGAAGCTAGGCTCCTGGACCTCGAAATGTCGAAGTCTCGTAGTTGGCGACTTCAATGCCCCAACAGTTGACTGGACGAGCCTAACAACTCCATCCTCAGTCAACTCCTTTGATTATAAACTGCTGGAATCTAGTATATCGTTAGCTCTAGTCCAACATATCATCAAGCCCACGCGCTATGACTCACAGCACTCCTCCTCAACTCTGGACCTAGTGTTCTCCCATGGTGAGGATGTAGATCTCATACAACATCTTCCTCCTTTAGGAAGAAGTGACCATGCTGTGCTCACTTTCAAGTTCACAGCAACGGCAGCAAGGGCCAAAACCCCATCTCGACCAAACGTTTGGAAAGCTGATATAAATGCAATCGTCTCAGCAGCCAACTCAGTAAACTGGTACATCGACCCAGAGTCTCGAGTAGAAGCCGCATGGAACCAATTTAAACAACTTAACGCCCAAGTAACTGAACCTTTCATCCCTTGGTCTGTCCCAAAGGGTCGGAAACACTGCCCTCCTTGGATAAACCGAGAGATTCGTAAGTTACTTAGACGTAAACACAAATGTTGGAACTTGTTTGCCACACTTGAGACTTCTGAGACCAGGCAATTATATAACACTGCTAGAAATAAAGCTATTGCAGAAATCCGCAAATCAAGGATGAAATTCGAAGCACACCTGGCTCAAAATGCAAAGGCACAACCTAAGAAAATTTTCTCGTACATGAACTTCAGGAATAAAACATCCAATGGTGTCCCAAACCTGACTATTGACAATGATACAATCGAAGAAGATCAAGAAAAAGCAGAAGCAATGGCAAACTATTTCTCCCAAGTCTTCACTCAGGAGTCGTCACTGCCTACAGGATCAGCTCTGGCTGCATCAGAAGAACATGGGATAGATTTCGTTGACATCGACCAAGGCATCGTGCTCAACTGCCTAAGGAAACTAGATGCAGGGAAATCAATGGGTCCTGATAATCTTCACCCAAGGCTTCTCAAGGAGTTATCAGCACACATAGCCGGCCCTTTGACTACGATCTTCAAGCTTTCTCTCCAAAGTGGAGTGTTACCGCGTGACTGGAAAGACGCCATAGTAACCCCCATCCACAAAGGAGGATCAAGACAAAGCCCTTCAAATTACAGGCCTATTAGTCTCACCAGCACTTTAATTAAGACACTGGAGAGAATCATCAAGAAAAGCATAATGGCATATCTAGAAAATAGGAGCTCATTATCAAGAGCACAGCATGGCTTCCGAAGGAACCTCTCATGCCTGTCAAATCTTCTCACTGCAAGAGAAAGCTGGGTTAAATCCAGGGACAACAGAAGACCCGTTGACGTCGTCTTCATAGACTTCAGCAAAGCCTTTGATAAAGTACCTCACAAAAGACTACTCATGAAGTTGGAAAGTCTTGGTATCAAAGGCAGCTTACTAAACTGGCTCAGGGAATTCCTCATAGATAGGACGCAGAGGGTTAGGATCAACTCGAAACTCTCCTCTTGGACAGCAGTACGCAGCGGAGTGCCACAAGGCACGGTACTTGGACCTCTCCTATTTATTTTGTATATCAATGAGTTATCTCTGCTCACGGATTCCCCTATGGCCCTATACGCAGATGACTTAAAAATTTGGAGAGAGCTGAAGGGCAACAGTGACACGTCCACGTTGCAAGAGGACCTCAACAAATTGTCAGAGTGGTCCATAGAATGGATGCTCCCGATAAACGTGACAAAATGTGCAACCATGCGCATTGGACAAGCAAGCACGAGCTCTTATGAACTAGAGGGAATTACACTTCCATCAGTTCAGACTTACTTGGACTTAGGTGTCATAGTTAGCCACGACTTAAAAACTACAGCACACTGTCGCGCGGTGGCTGCACGTAGTTTCAGGTCATTATGGGCAATTTGCAGCGCCTTCACTAGAATCACCAGAGATATGTTCACCTCCTTATATACATCTCTGGTGAGGTCAAGACTGGAAAACTGCATCCAGGCCGCCAGCCCTTGTCTAAAAGGGGACTCACTTATTCTAGAAAGGGTTCAAAGGAGAGCAACACGTATGATTCATGGCATGACTAACTTATCATACGAGGAAAGACTAGACAGTTTAAATCTCTTCTCCTTGTCATACCGTAGGCAGAGAGGAGATTTAATCACAATGTTTAAAATTTTAAATAATGACTACGGACCTGACCTACTTTCTCTTTTCCTTCCCACCAGGTCGGAACACCTTAGACGACGTAGCAGGAGAGTTCAAAAGCCAAGAAGAAATCATATTGCTGTTGAGTACTGGTTCTCACACCGAGTCATAAACGCTTGGAACCGACTCCCAGAAGAAGTGGTGTCTGCAACCTCAGTTGATTCGTTCAAGAAGGGCTTGGACAACCACAGAAATTTACTAGAAAAGGATTAACATAGGCTCCAAGCCTTCTATCCTCAACCAATAAATCTGAAATCTGAATACGCAAGGATTAAGCTGGAAATTGAGGCCCTCTGACTGAACCATTATAGTGGTGTTTGAATTAACATCAGGATGACTGTTAAACGCACTGGTTATCTACTGATATATTGGAAAAAATAGTTTGTCAAAATACCAAGACAAATGTTCAAATAACGATATGATTGTTGAATATTTTGCATTCAGTCAATTTTATCACCCGTCACAAAAATATAAAGCTTACTGTATTTAACCGGAAGTGACAGTAAATTAAACTGTTAATTATGAAACTTACTGCAAAGAAAAGTCCGAGGATTTAAGTGACCACAAAATTTACACGGTGTCAAGTCTTCTCTAGGGTCATAAGAACCGGAACGCACTAAATATAATATTGCAAGAAATATAAACAACTTACAAGAAAGATGTTTCCGAATGCGTCGCACTTCGATTGTCCTACGCTTTTTCGGTACTGCGAAGTAAATAAAATCTTCCCAATGCTGTAATGGTCCCAAAGTCAATGATGGGTATATGAGTGGTCCGTTTGTGGTGCAAATTAAAGGTTCTTTTAAAGAGCTCTAATGGTAGAAGATAAACATACCTCGACATAAGAAATTGAAAACGGCAAGCTTCAAGGCTCGGAAAATAGAAGCCATGACCTTGACGTTGAATTCTGCGCTTCACGATCCAATCCAATATCCAATATCTTTTTACGAGCTAGTATAAACCAATTTGATTTCTTTGCGCTCGCCTCTTGATTGTAAGGTAGAGGTTCCTGATCTTTGGTAAACGTCTGTGTAGCTCGTCCCGCCACTCGACTGTCGTAGCTTTGGTTGACTCCAACAGGAGTAGTGCTGGGATTAATTATATGGCGTCTGTAGTATGAAGTGTGTTAAGACTGTTACTACTGTGAATGGAGTTGATCCTTTCACCAGTTAGTCTTTCGGTATCGTCGTCAATGGAAAAGAGATAATAATAATAATAATAGATATAATTAGTAAAGGTATTCAGACTAACAGACAGAGAAAAAAAAATAAGAAAACGTAACAACAGTCAGTCAACCGGTATACATATATATATATAATATATACCAGTAATAATGATAATAATAATAACAATAATAATAAGTGTAGTTAAAGCTGTCAGGAGAGTAAGACTGAAGGGAATGTGAAGAAGTAAAACGACCAGTTTAATTGTCTATCTTTGAATGGTATATGCGATTTTAAGGGGATAGGCCATTTGGATACAGTCCTTGTGTCACTGCAAGGTTGTCCAGCCTTCGCTTAAAGGCGTCCACAGATGGTGCCATAGCTACATCTGCCGGTAAGGAATTCCAGGGACGGCAAACCCGCAGGGAAAAGAAGTGGGAGCGCACCCGGGTCCTTGCCCTCTGATGAGCTATCCTTCTGGGATTTCCACGAGGGAGCCTATACCTACTCAATGGCAGAACACCTTTGTTCGGGTGATTCTGATCATTTGTTATTTTGTAGGCAGTGATTAAATCCCCCCTCAGGCGACGGTAACTGAGTGTGAATAGGCCTAATTTCTTCAGCCTTTCGTCATATGGTTTATTTCGGAGTCCAACCACTCCTTTTGTTGCCCGTCGTTGGGCTCTTTCCAAGAGGTTGGCGTCTCTTTTAAGCAGTGGGGGTGCAATGATATTATGCACTTCAAGATGCGGTCTGACGTATGTTTTATACAACCTTAGAAAGAGCTCAGGAGTGAGTGCACCTAATTGTCTATGTGTAAAGTGTATGACCGCATATGCCCTCGCTACATCCCCCGTGTAATTCACGCTTGTGTCCATTTTCTCCGTTAGAACTAGACCTAAGTCACGTTCCGACGTTGAGCAGGACAAGCTTTCATTGCACAGGGTGTAACTTGCATTCTGCAGTCTACAGGTGCGTAACTTCACTACTTTGCACTTTTTCAGGTTGAAAGTCATTCCACTGGTTACCGCCCAGTCTTCCAGAAGCCTTAGATCTGCCTGCAGCCTATCTGAGTCCTCCGGACACTTTACCGCCCTCCATATCTTTACGTCATCAGCGTATAGAAGAGTCGGGCAGTTTAGACGGCATGGTAAATCATTGATAAAAATCAAGAACATCAGTGTTCCCAGGATAGAACCCTGCGACACTCCTGATGACGAGCTGTGCCAAGATGATCGGACTCGGTTGACCTTGGTGCAAAATTGCCTTTCAGTTAGGTAGTCCTTCAACCATGACAGAAGTGGTTTACCTAGACCTACCTGGCTTATTTTGTGTAGGAGAAGGTCATGGTGAACAGTGTCAAATGCCTTCTCAAAGTCTAGAAAGATCACATGGACAGGAACATTCATATCCCAGCATGATGTCCAATCGTCCCAAGCTGATAATAAGTTAGTGACGCAGGATCTTCCTTTCCTGAAACCATGTTGGGCTTCATGGAGTATTTTAGACCTATCCAGATATTCCCTGATGTGATCATCAATAATACTTTCCAGTACTTTCGATACCACTGGGAGTAGAGCTACTGGTCTATAACTGGTGGGATTTTGCCTATCCCCACCCTTGAAGATCGGAGAAAGGATGCTTCTTTTCCATTCCTTTGGCAGTTTCCCCGATTCCATGGAGTGTTGGAACAAGTCGCATAAAGGCCTACAGAGAGCTTCGGCGCACTGTTTCAGAACAGATGGCCTGATGTCATCACAACCTGGGGACTTCCCAGGTATAAGTCGCTGCAGCTTTCTCAGTACTATTGCAGGGTTTATTTGAGGGGTGGCTATTTGGTCTTCCTCCTGTGAAATAGTCATGCCACCATTTTGGTTCGTAACGGTAATACCCACATTGCTGTTTAGCTGTTTGGCGAAGGCTAAACTGAATGTTTCAGCCATCTCCAGACTAGTGAGATATTGACCGTTTTGGCCTACTAAGGCGCAAGCCCCTTGGTTGGTTGGTTTCCTTTCCGACATGAATCGGTACAAATTCTTCGGGTTTGCCAGGAGTTTTTTAGCAAGGTTAGCCTGGAATGACCTTCTGTCCCTCCTGACTCTTGCATTGCACCGGTTCCTGAGTTCCAGGTATGCATCATGGTCGATCTGGCTTCCAGATACGCGCCACGTAAACCAAGCCTTCCTCTTTGCTTGCAGAATACGCTGCGTGCCTCTCTTTAACCATGATGATTTTCTTTTTGGCTGTGCTGTGACTAAAGGGACGGTATCCGAGATCGCTGTATGAATAATCTTTTTTACCGCTTCCCAGTGTTCATCCACAGACAGCTCATCCCATGCTAAGGGCCAGTCTGCATCGAACAAGAGCCTCCGCATTTCAGCGTAGTCAGCCTTGCTGTAACACAGACATGGTTGCGTAGCGTCCCACTGCAAGTGCTCACGGAGAACGAGGTCGAAACCTATGACTGCATGGTCACTACTTCCTAGAGGAGTCATGACCTGGACCTTTTCGACGAGTAGTTGGTCACTAGTTAGAATGTAGTCTAGTTTTGATGACTTTCCACTAGGGCCCCACCTAGTGTCGTCTCCAACATTCTCAGTCAGTCCCGTGTCCCGAATAGCTTGCAGTAGATTTCTGCCGAATTTTCCCTTAGCATACCCCGAGCCAAGGTTCAGTGATGGGGCATTGAAATCTCCAGCAATGGTGATTTGGTCATAGCCCAAGTCTCGTATCCCTGTGATAGTGCTGAGCAGTAGCTGATTGTGCTCTGCCCCACAGGTGGGAGATCGGTAGATGCCACCAAGCAAATGCTTGGTGTGGCCTACGGTGAAATGACACCATATGGAGTCTGGGAGTTCAATAAGTGGTGGGTCCGTTGCGCGAACACATTTAAGTTGCCTATCAAAGTATATGGCAACTCCCCCTCCTTCCTTATTGTCCCTGTCTCTCCTGACCAAAACCATATCACCTATACTGATTTCATTATCGGCGATAGTGGGGGTTAGCCATGTTTCGGTGAGAATGATTATTTTCAGTTGTAGGTGTGCTTGGAGATTTCGGAGTTCACCTATTTTTACTCTCAGCCCCCTCACATTGCTATACAGGCAGCTGACAGTGAGTCTTACAACCTCAGCGTGTTGTGGGGTAGTTGACGTGAAGCTGTCTGCTGGTAGGGAACTTAGTGTTGGGACTAATTGGCCAGTTCCGATGGAACCGGCCCATTGTGGTTTTTTCCCTTGGATTTAGGCAGGACACTTGGGTGGCACAGACTGTTATTCTCAGAACTGCATCGCTCGAGTGTCACTGAAGCTTGGGGACGTATTAAAGCCTCAGTTTGCTGCCTCCTTATGGTTCGAGGTCTGCTTTCGCAACATCGGATGTTTCCTCCCAATTTCCCCTTGATCTCATACCACCGTTGAAGTGTTATGGCCAACTGCTCTGGGGAGTTGAATGTGACACTAAGCAGCCTTGGGGAGCTAATCAGTGTGAGATGAGCGGGGCGAGGTAGTCGGTAAACGGAGATGGCTCCAGAAGCGCCAAGGGCCATCTGAGACGACAGCCATCTCCACTGCTGTACGTCATGCATGTGTTTTTCACAGGCAGTGCCCGTTTCCAGCTCCGGGACACCGTGCACTACCATAGAGGTGGAAGGCAAAAGTTCCGGTGACTCCCTTGCCATTTGTCTGACAGCCCATGGTCTGTCTTGTCTCACCCTTATGTTAGAGCTTCTGTCGATGGCTAGTACCTGAGCCATCAATAGTACCTTTTCGGCCTCTTCGGCAGAGTCCAGTGTAACCCGTAATGGGGGTGGCTTACCTTGAGGTGTGTGGACACCCCTGTACAGCCTGCACAATTTCACTGAACTAATATTCAGACCTAGTTTATTGCACAGGTTGGACCACTGTTCCTGATCAAACAGGGCCCGCTGTTCAAGCAAGCTGTCCTTGCTCACAGGTACGTTAAAGAGGATGAGCGAATTAGACCGATTAACCTCAGACTTAGGTTTGGCCTTTGGCTTCTCATATTCCTTTGCAGCATCAGCAACTTTAGGCTTCATCGGGTTCTGACCAGCCTTTATTGTGTTGCCAAGCTTGCTTGTGGATGCAAGTGGTGCTTCTCTAACTCTATCTTTCCTTGATTTTTTAGGTCCAGCCTTATGAATCTTCACCTTGTGAAAATTGGCATTTTCGGTCAGTAGGACAGGAGTGTCCTTCTTACTGTCTGTGCCAAGTTTTGGCAATGTGACGTTAGCAGGTGGGGAGCTACATAAGACCGTGTTGGGACACAAGGGCGGCGTGTTGTTTCTGCTAACCGCAGACACGCTCTGTGTGACTACACCAGGGCGACAGAGTGGACAGATGTACCAAAACCACGGGCATGGGTTATTTCTCATAAACTCGTAGTATGATTTCGGTACCTCTTTGTCGCAACGGCAGTGCACCCACCGTTTGCAAAAATTGCATTCGAAAGCTGAGTCAGCTTTAGAAACAATGATATTGCACGCCTGGCACTCGTCTCCCTTACTTGGTGACGCCTTCGAGGTCTTATGACGTCTTGAGCGTTTCCTTTTAGGTTTGTTGTACTTCATACATTGGCTTTCAGTTGGTGCAGGTGTAGTAGTATCCTGTCCTACTAGTATTGCCTGAGCCGTTTCAGTACTAGACTGTGGCACTGCAGGCATAGTATCCGGACAGACGAGTCCTACACGGGTCTTTAGGATGGGTATGCAATTTGGGGTTGGTGTCCCTGCGTTTTTGC